AAATCAACGACTAGATAGAGCAAAGAAATTCAGAACAGTAGCAGTAGCATCACCATATAGGCCGAATTCAATAATCATCAATCAACTAACTGACAATGAGATGAGTGAAGTTGCTAAATTTTGAATGTTGTTCAAATTCTAAAGTTTCAGATTCCATAAGATGCTAGCAACATTGTCGGCTTAAATTGAACCCTTCTAATATTCAAGCTTCTTCACGGCTCATTTAACTGATCGCTTCTTGTTCTTTACAGATGAGCATCGATGTGCCTCAACAGCATTCACTTGATTAAGGCGTAACTTACTGTTCCAGAGCAGGCACATGGACGAACCATGACACCGCTCTCTGACTGACAAATGCGACACGCACGTTTCTCGACAGCTGATGTCGACTCGCTGGGTGATGATGGCGAGTTCCTCAACAAAAACAATTTGTTCGTCTCGGAAACGACCATTTGTTTGTGCAAATGTAAAGCGATTCTTTGGGTCAGTAAATCGCTACGTATTATATTACCGCTTGAGTTACGAACTGCTCGAATGATTGATTTCCAGCTGACAGTGACAGTGCTACTAACTGGACGTGTGCTTGCACTAGCAACACAAATTGAGAACAAAACTCAAGAAGGCATTGATGAGCGCGCTGAACGGAGAGAGACGGTGTGCACTCTCAGTGCTAGGCATTCCCCTGGAATACCAATAATTCAGCCGGCGCGCATTGTAACTTTGATCACCTTAGGATTCATCGCATGATAAATGCTGTTTCGAAATTTCATTTGCTATATGAATCATGTTTTCTGTGTCAAATACATTGTCGTGTACGAGTGTACCTTTAATCGCTAGAAATCGAATGCTTTAAATAATGTTTTGAGTGAATGTTTCGGGTTGTCTTCTTCAAATGATCAACGGAATTGGATACGAAAAGCTACCTCGATAACACTGTGTAATAGAAGAAATCAGGCAAAGGTGAGAAGACGCATCATTTTATTGGACAGTTTTGTACGCTGAATCTGGATCGAACTTTCTTGCGTCATTGTGTGCATTTTTTACAAATAACCGTCAAACTCCGAAAAATGATCAAGAAGTATGAATTGCAAAGCTCGAAAAAGCTGGCTTTCACTGTTGCGAAATCTGGAAAATATCTTGCGTAGATGCAAGTCTGGATTCAGTTTTTCTCTCCCATGAGAAACAGCTGAACTGCCAAATTACAATTTATG